AAAATATAACTTATCAGCCTCCAAAAACCCATGGTAACATCAGGTAGAGAAGGTGTCAGAAAATGAAGAAGTCAAGATCCTGTGGGGTTTCCAGATCCAAACGGACAAACACCTTGAACATGACACACCAGACATAGTAGTACTAGAACAAAGAAATATCCGGATCATTGAGAGAGCAATTCCGGGGGATGCCAGAGTTGAAAAGGATCATTGAGAGAGCAATTCCGAGGGATGCCAGAGTTGAAAATAAAGAACTGGAAAAACTAACAACATGCAGAGACCTGGCGATCAAAACAACTCCCCTCTGGAAGAAACACATTTCAGTGGTCCCCATAGTCATTGGGGCTTTGGAAACAATATCAAGAAATTTCACAGTACTATAAGCAGTTGCAGATCTCAGAGATCACACCATCAGAGTCATAAAAAAACCCAGCAGTATTAGGAACAGCATACATACTGTGCCAATATTTAACAGATACTTAGTTTTTTGGTTAAAACTTGTATCTGTTATATAATACCCGTCAATGTTTTTATAATTTTGACTGTGCCTTATGTTTTTAACCACCACCACCTTAGGAGGCACAGTGGGGACAAAGTCCCAGGTGCTAAGCCACTGAGATATCCTGATAAGAGGAGTAATAACTGTGCAAACATAACATAGGTAGGAACTAGTGAGGCTACTGTGTTCTCCAGTATGGTGAAATATATGTTTATTTATTACCTTAATCCCACCCTCTGTTGTCACTAATATTTTGCCCAGATTTTCATTCACAGAATTTGCTTTATTTCAAGTATCCTATATTACAGTAGCCTTGTATAGGCATTTTCTTGAACATAGCATATGGGTAGAGGGATAAGGTTATGTATGCTGGCCTCATTCCCAGTCATCCCTTCAGTCCCAGACTTTGACATATTTGTAACAGATCCTCAGCAATGCAGGTTCTGCATTAGTGGTTTTTACATCGTGTTTTTACATTTAGTGTCTTTATGTAGACTCTTAGCCACTCTTGGCTTTTGTGAGGAATGGAAGACCATATATCAAATAAATGAATAAAGTTCAGCAGTAAAATCTGAAGGGATGTCCTTATCATGATCACTTGAATGTGAATGGAGTGCACCATGTATTTAAGGATATTGATAAAGGAGGGCCCCTGATCTCGTACAGTGTTCTACTCCTGTTAAAGTGAATGCAGATCGATCATGATTTTAGACTTTCCTGCTCATTTGGAAGCCTGAGAAGGCAAGCAAGTACAGGGATGTGATGGAAATATATTTTTGATCTCCCTTCTACCATACACTTCTATTCCTTGTACAATTGACTGAATGCCTCAACTGGGGATGTACTGTCACTATGGGCCAGATGGATATCAATACATTTAGACATAGGCTGTTTGTATTTGTATTCTTGGGGATACGAATATGGTGAGCGGCACCATGGATGTCCTGAGGGCCCATTCCCGAGAACCAGCTGGTCTACTCACCACAGTGGTTGGCTGCACGGGGAGGCAGGGAAGAGCTAGCCAAGCTCCTTCTGCGATTCATGCAATGACAATGACAACGGAGCCGAGCACCACACTGAGACTGGCGAGCGGAGCAGCTGGTTCTGTGAGGAGGGAATGGGCCTCTGTGGCACCTGTGGTGCTGAAATTAGTACTCATATCCCCAGAGATATGAACATGGATAGCCCATGTCTAATTACAGTGCTCACTGTGAGGATTTTATTGGGATGTAGACAGACAGACAGACAGACAGACAGACAGACAGACAGACAGACAGACAGACAGACAGACAGACAGAAAGAAAGAAAGAAAGAAAGAAAGAAAGAAAGAAAGAAAGAAAGAAAGAAAGAAAGAAATGTGGCTATTTATGGATTCTCTACTTTCCTAGCATTATCCTGGGGACAACACCAGTCAGTATGAAATAAAGGCTACTTCAACTGCACTGTCACGAGTAAAGTAAGTGTTTTCTAATTAATTTTTCCCCTATTGTATAATTTGCAGGTAAATCACATTCCATTTTGAATATTGTGGTGCTGAATGGATTCAGAAGACAAAACCTATAGGTCAATTTGCATAATTATTTTACAAAGCAACCCTATACATGCATACTGAAAAGTCACTCACACTGAGTTGGGGAGTTAGATTTACATCCAGGTGAATAAATAAAGTTAATATAGCCCAGGTGTGTGAGCACCTAGGCTGAAGGCAGCAGGGGATTGCTGTGTCCTTAGTGAAGCCCATGGTGAAGTTGCTCACCTTGTATTTATATACATATTATACATTTTCTGTATAATTCAGCTGTGTCGGACAAATAAAGATAGTGTATCTGTGTCATGAACTTGGACTTTTTGCCAGTGTCCTTGGAAGGCAAAAGCACATGAAACTGTACTTGCACGAAGTGGGGACCTTTTCCTGCTTCCTCCTCCAGAGGCTTCCTGAAAAGTCACTTTGAAGGACTGGGACCTTATCTAGAATGGCATGGGGAACTACCGTGTGTGTGTGTGGGGGGGAAGGACTTGGGAACTGTTTACAAGTGAAAATTAGTTATAGAATAATTTATGACTTAGCTGCTGAAAACTTTTATTTCAGAATTTCAGATTTCAATGAAACACTTCAGAGGTTAAGTGATGTAAGTAAGTTATGGCTTATTACTACAATTATTAACTGGCCAAAATCCTGTTGGCATAAAATTACATCATGGAAGCTGGATGTCATCATCATCATCATCCAGTGCTGGTAATATTTAACTTAAAAGCTTCTTCCCTCCCACCCCCATTTTTTGTTTTATTTTAGAGGAAGGCCTCGTAGTCCTGGGACAGGTAGTGGAAGCCTTTAATAGTAAAATATTGGCTGTGATTTTTTTTATATTAAAGGCTTCTGCTTCCTGGTCCCAGTATTAGCAAGGGCTTCCCAAGGGCAAAAGGGTGCCCTGGGTCGTCTTGGAATCTGAAACAGGGGAAAATAAGTTTTCAGTTCATTTAAAATAGCGTAACTTTGTGCCAACAGGATTTTGGCCATTTTAGGCTATATTATTATAAATATGGTGAATGCTTATTTTGATGACTTAATCACTTGTTTTAATTTTATTCTCTCATAGTCTTCCCTCATGCAATGTGCTCCAGTCAATCAGAGGTTTGTTATTTTTAATAATTACTATATTTTTGATTCTGTAAATGACTGTAAGTGTATTAAAAATCACTATCATTTTAAAATGGAGACACTTAACTGTGCAACCTTAACATGTCTGCCCAGAAGTAAGTTCTACTGAGATCAGTGGGACTGATTCCCAGGTACATCTGTGCAGGATTACAGCTTAGGGGGTCTGTGTATGGAATAAGTCTAGAACTGCCTGGAGTAAGAAACTTGGTCTAAATAAGAATCGCGTGCCATCAAATCAGTTCTGACTTATGGCAACACTTTTCAGAGTTTTCCAGATAGAGAATGCTCAGAAGTAGTTTACCCTTCCCTTCTTCTGGAAACACCCCAGAACTGTGCAGCTTGCCCAAGACCACACAGGCCGGCTTTGCTCACAGGAGGCACTATGAGTGAATCAAACCTGTAACCTTTGGCTCTGCAGCCAGATATATAATGATGCAATTTGGATGGCACGTGAGAAGGAAATGCTATCCTCCTAACCTTCTGTAATGAAAGAAGTCTTTAAATAGAAGATCCCACCTTGGAACACGCTACTGCATCTGCAGGAATCCTAAGCAATACAAAACTTATAGAAAATATAAAACTCACTCTAATCATTTTTGTTCATTCTATAGCAGGTTTCCCTTGTATTTCTTGTACTGTGGGGTATTTCCTAAGTGCAATGAGTCAGAGAAATTGGGGGGGGGGGACAATTGAATGGGACGTAACCTGTTGACAAACAGAATATATTACTTCTGCTTTGCCACCTCAAGATATGCCAAAAAAAATTACAAGGGATATTTTTTGTGCCAGTATATTTCATTGGCTGGGAGAAAAGTGCAAAAATCAATAGATACATTGAGATGACTTTTTTTGCCAGCTGTTTCACTCTTTGTTGTTTGCAAGGAAGAACTATGTGAAGAACTATGGCTGAAATTTGGGGATATGGTTTACATCTATGCAGGTGACAATAAAATATAACTTTTAGCTTTTAATATTGTGTTTTTAAAGATCTAAGCCACCTGGGGTAAAATATATTTAATAAAATAAATAATAAATAATGTAATGTTCTACAGTGTACTGTAGGTCTAGGTCTAGGTCCATTTTGCAAGACAAAAGGGCCTTGGGGGGACTAAAATGTCTAATTCCAGTGTATGAGAGTTAGTTCATTGGCATCAGATCCAATATGTAGCAGTAAAAAGTGACTGTACATTTACTTAGCAGATAGAGCCAAAGGAACATACACAGTTTTATGGTTGATGAGAAAATGATTTCACAGAGGCATAATGCTTATAGAGCAATCAATTTTATAAGGCTTACATTTATTTTTCTTCCACATTGTAGTATATCAGACTGCAATTTCATAATCAAGCTGCAGAAAAATCTGAATATAAGTTACATATTATTAGATTTACAAGAAAAAGCAGAAATCGGGCCAGTTGGTAAGTAGTCTTGAATATATTTCTATTCTACAGATGATACATCTCATATTGGGCCTAAAATTCAGAATCTGAAGCTATGCATTAAAAAAAAAAAGAAATTGCTTGCCAATTTTAGCATGGATTTTTCTGAATTTTAATTTAGGGCTTGCGTATATCAGCCATTTTGTCACATCAGACATTTCAGTGTATCTGTGAAAATTCTCAGTCATGCAAGTCTGGTTATCTGGAAGCTGAGTCGTGTCAACTGGACTTCCTTCTTGTTAGGTTGAAATGTTTCAGCCTAACAAGAAAGAAGTCCAGTTGACACAATTCAGCTTCCAGATAGCCATTTCAGTGGAACATACTGGCAATATTTATTTATATTGTTCAGTTTATCTTAATACTTAGTTACCAGTAGCATTTAAAATGTGCAGGTTGTTCTGTCTGTTTTACAATGTTACTCTGTGCTAGTATTTAATGAGAGGTGGCCTTGGATATGAAGAGTTTTCAACACTGAGTGATATATTTATCAGAATGTGGGCGCAGGCAGAGTGAACTGTTTAGCCACCTTCTCCCCCTCTGGAAGAGAAGGAGCCCATATTCTGCTAGAAACCAGAATTCATTAACAACAGAGTAAGGAAAATTGGCTGGGTCTCTGTATGTACGGACACTCTCTGCAGCAGTACATCTTGATAATGGAAGATACTGTCTTGCGTAGATCTACTGTGTCATTAGGTGACACTGAGCATTTTCCAGGCACCTTGCAGTCCTGTTCTTCCCCTCTTTCGGCAACCAAACAGGTTTTCCACTGATCCGTGTTCAGCAGCTGGGGATCTATGCATCCCATTACCAGCTGCTGGATAGACTTCCATTGCATCCAAGTTATGTAACTTTTGAAAAAGAACAATTATCTGTTATAGACATACTGTAATACTATCATTCTGGTTTTATCTGTATTTTATTATTTGTCACCTGGGACATGACTACTAGTGAAAATGCAGGATGTAGATTTGAGAAATACATTTGCTGAATAAATATATTAAGTTTCTACCTCACTTTCAGGCAACTCCCTAAGGTGGTGCCCTGCTAGACGTTTACCCCGCAAAACATTTTTTTCGCTAGACGTTGACTTTTTGCGATCTCTATAGCAATTCGCAAAATGGGTTTTCCTATGGGGGAATTGCCTAATTATGTACAGTGGTGCCCCGCTAGACGTTTACCCCGCAAAACGGTTTTTTAGCTAGACGTTGACTTTTTGAGATCACTATAGCAATTCGCAAAATGGGTTTTCCTATGGGGGAATTTCGCAAAACGATGATTTAGTCCGTGCTTGGCAAGACGGGTATTTTTTGGCACCGTTTTTCACAAGACGATGATTTTGACAGCTCGCTCCGCGCTCGCAAAATGGGTATTTTGGGGATCTAGCGGTGCACCACTGTACTTCATTGTGAAGCTAAATAATGTTATATATAGCATATTCATACAATTTTAAATGCAAATAATA